GTAGTATACCAAGGTATCCAGTGATGTAATTTTACCCACAAACGGACTTGAAGTTTTTGAGCTAATTTTTTTTAAACCACTTGTGTCCAAAAAAGCATATTTTTGACCTAAAATCAAAAACGCATTCTGGATATTTAAAATAAAGACAAGTTTTACAAAGTTTGTATAATGAGCTTTCAGAAAATATATAACATGCTGGATATATAATACCATCTTCATTGTCTAATTACTCAATTAAAAAGCAAGCCAAATAAACTGCATCTCTACCTTAAGGTACATTCTGCCATCATGAACCAGTCTATACTGCCATCCAGTGTTCATTTATTAATATTCTTTTGTTTTTAATTGATGGATAATCAGCCACACAAGGAAGATAAAAATCGCATCACTTACCCCTGTAAAACATGTACTTGATAAGGAATCTGCATTCTGTAGTTTTTCTCTTTTGTTTTTATGACAATTTTGCCTGACAAACTGCGTGGGTTGACTGCTTTTGAAGGATCATATACTATATCTGCTATTTTAACATGCTTTTCAGATGGCCTTAACTGCTGCGGTTTGAAGTCTATCGAGATTGCTTCGTTACCTTTTAGAAGAAAAACATTCTGCAGAAAAGTAGAGACAGCTGTTGTTGAATGTTGCACACGATGGTTCAAGTATGAAGGATATTTATAATACTGACACAGAGACACCAAGAATAAAAGATCCATGTCATTTTCAGGATTTGAAAAAAGCCTTAGGATTTGAAATTCAGCAAGCACACAACACAGACAGACAAACAAACAATCAGTAATAACTTCCAGTCAGGGTACTAGACAGGACTTTTATTTAAAGGGGTAGCTGTCAGTCCCTGGGATTGCAACCGGAAATCAACGTTTTCACTGTCAGTCTGCCTTTTATTTCCTTGGTAAATTTGCTTTGTGAATATATTTATAGCTAGATTACTACGTAACACAAATTAAAGGAAATGGTGGACTGATACTGCGGAAACCTGACATCTAGAAAGGTAAAATAAAATTAATAGTGTGTTTCTGGTTGCACTGAAAACAAAAGTAGGGTAGGCAGACAAGAATAACTTTTTATTTTATCATTATTTAATTTACATCTCAATTTATAATTTCCACAGTGTTGCTTGGTTCATACTGTTATATGAGAGTATTTGTCAATAATACACCAAATCTTGTATGTACAGGGTGAGATTTTGGTTCAAAATAAAAAATTTCAAGTAGAGTTGAAAGGTGTGCTTACAAGTGCACATACTGTGGAATACTTTATTTTCGCTGGAATTAATTTTCGCTGAAAAGGCTTTTTGGGCGTTTTGTATGGAACTTATTTTCACTGATTTTTGATGAATTTAATGTGAAATATAGGAAAAAAAGTATATTCGCTGGATTTTATTTTCACGGAATCATCCATTCAGCGAAAATAGCGAAAATAAATTCCAAGCGAAAATAAAGTATTCTACAGTAGTTCAGTTTGGACATAAAAGTATACAGGGTCGGCCTGAATAGTCTAGGCAAGGTCGGTTACCGGAAACACATTATTTTTATTTGTGAATACAAGAGCTGTAAAATACTCATGCAACAGAATAGGGAAAACAAGCAAAAATTGCAGTATTTTTAAAATAGACTACACACAAGTGAAATACAAGCCACATATTGACATTCTAGTAAAATGTCATGCGTGTAATTTGTTATTAAAAGATTTAAAGGTGGCCAGATTTAATCAAGACTAAGTACACCATGTCTTGAACACGTGATAAATGTATACATAGTCAGATATGAAGCAGTCTGCATGTGTCAGCTACCATGTGTACTAGTAGAACACAGTATAACAAGTGTGGCTTTTAAAAATCAATTACAGAAAACAAGCTCAACCTTGTGAAAAGACCAGCTCTAATTTTATTGTGACGTTATAATACCATTTAAATACTATATATTAAAGTTACTAGTAGTTTGATTTTTTTTCCACTTCACTTTCTCATTTATCCCTTTGTGATGGTTTGTTTTTGTTGAAGTGTTATTTTAATGTTATTAGTTGAATTCTGTATCATTATAAGTGAATTTTGCTGAATTTTCAAGCATTTTTAATAATTGAAATGACTGAGATAATCTTTTAGTAGGACAGCAATTTTGTGTATGGTGACATAACCATTACAGTCAATTCTAAGGACATGAAATACAAACATACGGTAGTCTTTGAAGTGATTTCACACCAAGGCCCTCGTAGATATCAGCTCTAGTTGTTTCAAGACTAGCCTGTTTTGATAAATTTACAAACAAATACCACCTTTACTCTGAGAATTAAAGCGGGAGGGTCGTCACCTGCGCACGCGCAGAAATTGAGCCCCAAGCAATGATATCAACACACGCTAAAAACGCAAAGGCTCGTGAGTAGATGCTTGTTTGTAAACAAAGACACGCTATGACCATCTGACACATGCGCAGGTGACGGCTCCCCCGCTTTAAATGAATGCTTGGAATTATTTACATAAATACATCATTAAGCAATGAGTTTTTTTTTTTTTTAATTGGTTTGAAAAAAGAATTTGCTATTAAATGTAATCTCTAGATTAAAGAGAGATTACATAGGGAAGGTGAACTGAACTACTATAATGAAAATTAAATTGATTTTTCGTAGTATCACATTTCAAATGCATCTGGTTACCAGATCACAACTTATCAAAAAATAAAATATCTGTATTACATTGTATAATTGGTTATTGCTAAACACAGTTAAGTACAGTCATAGCAATGATACCTCAAGTGACTGCTCTGTAAGATAATACTCGTTCAGAGTACTGTACCATCTTGAAACATGCATGTGTCACCATGTGTGAATGATTAAAACCTGATGTCTACATTTCATGAAATGTAACGTTCAATGCGTATGTCAGAGGTATTTTCAGTAAATCAACCCTATTATATCTGTAGCTTATTACAGTAATTTGTACTGATACACTACACAAGCCTACCCCCCCCCCCCTCTTTTTTTGAGCCACTCACAAACACAGTTGGGCTTGGGGGCATTTTGACAATATTAGGTTAATATAAGAATGCATACTATACACCAACAACACACACATACACAGGTAAGCAGGTGTATAATATGTCTGTGAATGTCCAATATGTTTTTGTATGCCAGGTTTCAGCACTGCAACACTGAATATTTAATAATCATGCAACATTCACTGCTTATATAAAATTACTGTTGATGCCAAACATTTTCAATACTTGATTTTAAATTTTTCTTCTTCTTTTCCTTCATTTGTTACGTATCTTGTTCAGCTTCTATTTAATTATTTATTTTTAGAGTGAACCCCCTGATTCAAAAGGATTGCAACAAATAAATAAATAATTTGCAAGGTATCCATGAGAAATAAATCGATGTACAGTTTAAAGTTTTTATATCAGATAACTTCCATAGCTTGCATAATGAAGAAATACATTGTACTGCATCATGCTAACAGTGAACGATACAAGTAGAATATTATACTTACAGAAATATGAACAGCCTTTTGTCCTGTATTTATTAAATAAATCTGTAAAATTTTTGGATCGTCAAAGGATCTTAAGGTGCCAAAATCTAATAGCTCAAGAGATGAATATATACCAGGTGCTGAGAAACATGGAAAGAAAAAAGAAATTAGTCTCAAAAGATTGATTATCTGTAGATTAGCTGAGCAGGACATAGTTTGAGTTCACAATACAACTATTCCAGAATAAATAAAGAAATACAGGATAAAGAAAAATTTCCTGAGGAGGCCTTTTATGTTTTATCCCGAGATGTTATCCAGGTACTTTCAACCACCTCATGAAGTTTAAAACACTTAAAATTAAATATAGGAATTTTCTGTCATTCTAAAGGCAATGCTTGCAAGAAATTACATGTGTGACCTTTAGGGGTCATGCATAAAGATTGTTGGTAATTATTTGAGTATTTTGAGAAATGGTAAGATCTGCATAAACATTTTGAATCATGAGCTAATTTTATGATCTCGATGACTACCACTGTGGTTTACCAATATGGATATTAATTATTTTCTATTGAACTAAATAGGAGAATCTCTTATTGGTACTGATTAACATAACTTACTTGCAGACACTTCAACTTCCATTGGAAGTATGACAAATTCTTCTTCATCACTCAATGATGACTGATTTGTTTTTATGCGGATAAAAGCTGTGTGGTTTGTTTCTACTCGACCTACAAAACTTGCTCTCATTACAGATTTGGTTTGAAAAGGTGGGATTTCCTGTGAAGGGCACAAAACAAGAAACATATTATAGGTTACGATGCAGAGGTTTCATGAGAAGGCAACTGTGGCTACATGTCCATAACGACTCGTTAGCAAACTGTGTGGAAAAATACAATTTAATTGCCTATTTTCTAGATAGGGTCTAAATCTAAGGAAAAACCTGTGATGTTTCAATGAAAACACATTTTAAACAAAAACTTTGAAATTGGTATTGTAACCTTAACTTACTCATGATAGCAAAGACTTTCTTTCACCTGTGAGTAACCCTAACTTACCCAAAATGATCGCAAAGCCTCTCTATCACCTGTTGGCATCCCTAACTTACCCATAATGTTTGCGAAGCCTCTCTTTCACCCGTTGGTAACTCTAAATGTAAATCTCCTCCACTTGAATACATTTCTGTGACCTAGAGAAATAGAGGAACAATAACAAGTCATTAAAAACGTTGATATTTTTTCAAAGTGATCATTTATGAGCAAAACACCAACATTTCATTGAGGTCAGTATGGTAAGCTTGATGGTAAATTACATCAAGCAGTGCATTTGTAATTCTTGAAAGGACCTGGGGATACTACCGACTAAAATTTCAGCACAATGGCAAAAAGCAGCCTCAGGAAATAGTTTTGAGCGGGGACATTATTGCAGTTGAATCTTGAATTCAATACAGAGTTCAGGACAGCACACGAAACAGACATAATGACAGTAAAATATAGTGGATTTACCTGTATAGTTTCACTATATGGATTATGCATGTTTATAAGTGGCGAAAAACTTGTATTTACTGGTACTCTTGCACCTAAAAAAGGCCTCAACCTGTAAGGATTGGGAATACCCACACCAAATACCTAGAAGACACAAGCGTGAATTATAAAGCACTGTCTACTGTGGTTTTACCAGCTTTTCAGCGACTGAGCATCAAGTTAAGGTATAAATACTGAATAATAACAGGATGATGTAAGCAGCTACTAGTTTTCAATTTCTTACACATGATTATTCTCACCATGATTTCTACTGAAGCAACCTTATCACACTCATTCGTAAACTCAGGTTAGATAAGTTGGTGATGGTGTTTATGTACAATTAAGTCACAGGACATTACAGAGTGTTAGAACACAGCTTACCTGATAGGGAAACAACCCTTTGTTGGTGTGAATATATAATGAGTTTTCAGCATTTCCAACAACCCTCGCTAAAAATACTACATCAAATGTGGTATTTCCTCCTGGTAGAACCACCTGTGTTGGAGACAACAAATTATGTTTTATTTGCAAAAAGTCAAGCAACCAGAAAGATTTGTTTTCTGACAATAAAAGTTCCACCAACAGAACCGATATTATGACTAATGCGTCATTGCCAACAATCATCTCAGAGTATGATACTTTATTAGATCCTGATTCATAGCAGTTACTGAAACAAGCATACTTACTTTGTCTTGAAAAAAGGAAGAATGGAAATGCGGCGTGTTGCCTGATATTGATAACATTATGATACTATTTTCCGGATGTGGATTTAGTATAATAACTGTTTCTATTTTTGGCATTCCAATAGGCCTAGAAAAAAACAACAATTATTTTTGACAGATATACAATTATGCATATCTCACAATAATTTTATACATATAAATAAGGAAGTAAATAAAAAAAAAAATAAAAAATTAGTTGAACGAACACAGATAATTTGCAGTGAAAAAAAATTCTGGCCTCATATGCAGAAAATGAAATTTTCAATTTTGCCCAAGAAATGGATAACCAGAAAAATAAGATTTATTTTATTTGGGACAATGTGCACATGTAATGCATAATACATAGCAACACATCATACGTTTGAACTCATTGGCGTATATTCATTATACAAGCTCCATTATCACTTTAATAGTATGAACTAATCTCATTACCATATTTGGCATGCATACTCATTCATTACCACATTTGGTATGCATACCCATCTCATTACCATATTTGGTGTGCATACCCATCTCATTACCATATTTGGTATGCATACCCATTCATTACCATATTTGGTGTGCATACCCATTCATTACCACATTTGGTATGCATACCCATCTCATTACCACATTTGGTATGCATACCCATCACATTACCATATTTGGTGTGCATACCCATCTCATTACCACATTTGGTATGCATACCTATCTCATTACCATATTTGGTGTGCATACCCATCTCTTTACCATATTTGATGGGCATACCCATCTCATTACCATATTTGATATGCATACCCATTCATTACCACATTTGTTATGCATTCTCACCTCATTAGCATATTTGTTATGCATTCTCACCTCATTAGCATATTTGTTATGCATTCTCACCTCATTAGCATATGTGTTATGCATTCCCACCTCATTAGCATATTTGTTAAGCATTCCCACCTCATTAGCATATTTGTTAAGCATTCCCACCTCATTAGCATATTTTATAGAAAATGTCCATTGTACTTACTGTTCCCCAAAATCAAGCATTGCTGGTTCTAATATTATTCCACCATTCCCTGGTTGTTTTATGTTGTTATATTCATGGGATTTTCCATTACTGTGAACATACAAACAAACGAGAATTAAAAATTGACAGTTTTTATCTATAATACTATAAATGACTTGAGACTCTTTGTATGCGTTATTTCCTGATTTCAGAAAGCAATTCTATATTGACCAGGTATTGAACAACTGCATAGCAGCATGATAGAAAACATGGTTATTTAATTCATGAACACCGCAGAATGGGTTAAGTAATTCCAGGCAGGAGTTTGTTCAATTTAAAATTCAATGAGTTATTATCTACAGTTAAACTCGCTAAAGCAACGAAAACCAAAAAGCTTATTTGATAAAAACAAGATGGCTGTTATGACATGAGACAGTGTACACATTAAGCAACTTACAGAAGAAATGAACGCAAACTCTTTGATTGACAGAAAAACAAAACAAATTTTTTACTTCAATTACTGCCTTGGTTACATGAATATATACACATGCAATGCAGTTTACTATATTTATGCAACTGCGCAGATACAA